AGAAGGGGAAAACCAGCCACATGACTGGAGCAGGCTGCTCAAGGGAGCAGGCCTGGGCCTCCCAATGCTCCTGGAATTCCCAGAACCAGCCGCTGAATCTCTAGAAAATGAGGACCTAGAGAATGAGGACAGAGGTGTACCAGGCAGGGAGGCCTCAGCCTGTCCTGCCCTGGGGGTGATGCTCCAACTTCCAAAGCAACACTTGGCCAGCCCTTGCCCAAGGCCTCTCCGTAAACATCCCTCACAGAGGAAAGGGCAGGGTGGGAAGATCTTCCCCTCTTCTTCTGTTCAGTTTTTTCTTTTAAATAAAATAATTACCCCACCCCCACCCTCCATCTCTGAAGTCCCTACCCTAAGCCCAAAAGAAACAGTTTAAGAGAGTAAAAAATGGTGATTCAGAACTTCCCACTGCGGTCTCGGAAGAAGCCCTCAGCAGCCTGGGCCTCCCGGAAGGTGACGGTGACAGAGTTGGCAGTGACCTCAGTCATAGTTACCTCACTTGGGGGGAGCGCAGGTGTCCAGGGAGGAGGCCCCTTGGCCAGGTCTGCCTCAGCCTCCTCCTCAGGGGGCCGCTCAGTGGGCTCCCACTCGCTAGCCGCCTGCAGGGCATCTGGGGCTAGTGACTCCTGCAGGAAGAGCTCCCGTCAATGGCTGTGACTCTCCAGGTTGGGCCCGCGGGGCGGGAACTTCTTGCGTGAGAACCGAAGATACTTGTGGGCCTGGCGCGGCTTGCGGAGCGGGAAGGGCAGGGTGGGCACCAAGGGGCCCTTGTCCACCAGCTCGGGTGCCCCTGCCTTGACCACCCCCTCGGGGCTCCCGCTGCCAAGTGGGCGGGTCAGAGAGAAGCACAGCTTCTCCTTGCCCCTGGCCTTGTGGGAGCTCTGCAGGTCCATGCTGTACAGCTGCTGCAGCAGAAGCCACTTGGGTTTCGGATCTCTCTTCCTATACCCCAATGCTCAGTCTCTCTCCTCTTTCTCCTCATAGGCCATAACGAGGCAGGGGTCCAGGATGTGCTCTTTTGGCTCCCACGTGCTGTACTTTGGGGGCCATCCTTTCCACTTCACCAGATATTCCACTTTACCCTTCTGCAAGCGCTTCTTCCGGATGCTCTCCACAGCGAACACCTGCTCGCCGATGGCTGACAGCTCCATGCAGGGAAGCGGGTGAGCGGGGCGGGGCCACCAATAACTGCCTTTTTAAATGCCAAAGGGACATTTACCTATTCTGGTAAAGACACCTCATCTGGAACAGCTGCTATGATTGTAAATATTACTTCACTAGGTCTGTGGTAGTCCACCATCATTTACTTGAATTCATCTGGAATGAGCAGAGACCCTATAAGTAAACTAGAGGGATGAAACAGTGATAGGCACTTTTAATTTATAGACAGTAGGACAATCCTTGCATTTCCACCTGGCATGCAGTATTGTTTTTGTCTTGGAGGGGTTTGAGTTGGGTGAGCACTTTCAAAGACTTCTACTTTGCTCTTCCTTATGCTCTTCCACATCTGGTTCTTATTCCACAGGTCAGGGATCAATGTAACAGTTGTGTCCACTGCTAGGTATAATCATCCTAAGTATGCATTAGGACCAGAGAAGTAACTACAGGACTTGGGTCAGGATTTTGTTTATCATCTCATTTCCACAAACTACTACTCTAACTGGAAGATCATGATACTGCAGGTGCCATGGTACAAGTGTCAGCTCAGATCCTGTGTCTTAACAGCTTTTAAAAGATCTGGATGATCCCTTTTCAAAGCAAATTAGTTACTTTGTCTAGGTCTCTTTAGGGAAAGACTGGAGCAATATTTTTTGTACATACTTATGGTGGTGGCATTGTAGGATTTTCTCTTTTTTTGCAGTTTTTATGCTTTTATTTAAACACAAAATGTGCACATGAGCTGAGTATTCTTTTTTTTTTTTTTTTTGCTGTGCAGCCTAGCATTGGGATTGGTGATGCTAATAGCTAGCTGGGCTGCTCTTTCCACAATAGCTTTGCAGCTCCTGGACGAAACAATGTGTGCAATCTCCACAGGGATAAGATTTGTTGCACAAAGGCAGCACTTCTAGCTAGCTCCCTGATGTTGTGGGTGAGGAACTTTCGGAAACCACTGGGCTGCATGTTTTGTTTTTTTGTTGCTCCCATAACCAATGTTTGGCATTAAGATCTGGTCCTTGAATCTTCTCCAAACCCAGTTGTCAATATCTCTGGGTTTCTGCCAGTTACACTTAATTTTGTTATCATCTGACTGATGCCCCATAAACTTCTTGGTCCTCTTTCCCATGATCTTGGGCTTCACAAGCAGTTTGAGGGTGGCCATGATGCTGAATAGGAGATGATGCCACCTCAGGCAGCCCTGAGCAAGAGAGCTGTAGGATTCTTCTTGAAAGCAACCAAGCCTCTCTACCAAAAGCCTGAGTCTCAGAAGGGGCTCTGTGTAAATACAGAATGAGGGATCATGATCTTCCACTTTAGGAACTGACATTAACCTGATGATTACCAATTAATTCTTGATTTATTTCTCGTTATCCAGACAAAACATTCTGGTCTGATGCCCTTCTCTTTATTCCCCCGCCCCAAACACAATAGTTCTACAGGCACTGTCACAGACTTCTGTAGGTCAAGTCTTCCTGGCTGCCAGGTCAGGCTGGAGCAGAAACAGATAAGCAGCAGATGTCCTCAGTGTGAAGTCAGTCTGAGTGCACTCTGGCCAGGAGACATTGATGTAGCCATGGGAGGTGTCTGCTTCAAGAACTAAGTTTTCACGTGCTCCTAGTTTTGAGTATGTAATAGGTTCTAGGTCTGGAGGCAAGGAGGGGTAGTAGAGTAGGGCATAAAGACATTAATCTGCTGCAGAGCAACAAAAACGTCGTCATTCAGAGGTGCGCTTCTACTGGCAGTCTCGGCGGTGATTACGGGTTTAGGGTGCCTGGAGTCATTGGAATTGTCCCAAGGGCGCCCCGCACACCCACCCTCTACGTCTCTCATACACGCTGTCTCCACGCGCTGGGTGGGGCCCGCTCGCTAGACCACCCCGGGAGCAGAGAAGGGAGGGAGAGAGCACTTTCTTCGGACCTGCGGCAATCGCTGCCCGCCCTGCTCCCACCCCTCCCCGACCACGTCAAAGGTCGGTCTTCTCTCAGAACCTGGGCCTTCACGCACCACTTGCCCTGGAGCGCTAGCTCACTCCACTACCGCTAGGTGCCAGCTAGCGCCGCGGAAGAAGGCCGCCCCGCCCACGTGACACGCCGTTCTGATGCCCGCCCGCCACTCACGACGCTTCTGACTGGTCCATCTATGTGCTTGGTTCCAGGCCACCGTCTAAATAGCGGCTAATCTCTCGAGCGGCCCCGCGCAGACGGAGCATCAGACCCCCTACACACACATACACAAAGAAGTAGGCCACTGGTTGTTGCCCCGAATAGGGGCTGGGCACGAAGGAGACCCACTGAATTCGGCCTTCGGAAAGAGGCCCGGAACAGGGTCACGGACAGAGCCGAACAACGCCGGGAAGAGCCGAATAGAGCCGGAGAGACCCGAGTATAACCGGAGAAGCGAAGACCGGCCGGAAGAGGAGCCGAGCGCGGCCGGAAGGAGCCGAGCCCGTCCGAAGGAGGCGGAGCGCGGCTGGGCGTTGGGCCCACCGAGCCCGCGCCATGGCGGAGGGGACTGATGTGGTCGGAGGTGGGGCTGTTGGTGGCCTCCTGGCAAAGGACCTCTTGCGGCAATCTAAGAGCCCAGACGCGGTCCCGAACCGGCGGCGCTTCTCGTCGCTGTCGCGTGACGCTGAGCGCCGAGCCTACCAGTGGTGCCGGGAGTACTTGGGCGGGGCCTGGCGCCGAGTGCACCCGGAGGAGCTGAGGGTTTACCCCGTGAGGTGGGAGGTCAGGGGTCAGCCTCTCTGGTGCGTGGGTCGAGGTCAGGGGTCGCGGTCATCCCCGGGGCCCTCCAGACGCTCCAAGTTTTCACAGACCCCAAGTGCCTGCGCCTGGGGCGGGGCAGGGGCGGGTCTGCGGCTGACCTAGCGGGGAGGGTACCCGGAGCCGACCCGGGCTGAGTACGCTTGCTGTGCGTCTGCAGCGGAGGCCTCAGTAACCTGCTCTTCCGCTGCTCGCTCCCGGACCACCTGCCTAGCGTTGGCGAGGAGCCCCGGGAGGTCCTGCTACGGCTGTATGGGGCCATTCTGCAGGTGAGAAGGGAGAGAAGCCCCAGCGGCCAGTGGCTTTAAGACCTGTCACTTAAGTAGTATTGTCCCCGTTGCGCATTTGAAGACACTGAAGCTCATGGTCTGAGTAACCCCGCAGCCTCTAGGCAACAGAACCAGAGTCCTAGCTATGGTGGGAGGAGAAAGCAGATCCTCTTCTGTGTGCTAGTGCCACCTTTGCCTTGGACCCCTCCTGATTGGTTCCCTTTGCTGGCAATCTTCCTTCAGGGCGTGGACTCCCTGGTCCTCGAAAGCGTGATGTTTGCCATCCTTGCAGAGCGGTCACTGGGGCCCCAGCTCTACGGAGTCTTTCCTGAGGGCCGGCTAGAACAGTACATCCCAGTACGAGCCAAGCCCTGCCCACTCCTCACCCCCAGTCCCCCTCCCCAGTGTCCACCTTCACATCCCTCACCCCAGGTAGGGAATTCTCCCCTAAACCCTGGCCTCCCCCACTCCCCCACTCCCCCTCCTGCCCCAGCCCCCTCACCACCCTGATAGGTTCCTGGGTGCAGAGCCGGCCATTGAAAACTCAAGAGCTTCGAGAGCCGATGTTGTCAGCAGCTATTGCCACGAAGATGGCCCAGTTCCATGGCATGGAGATGCCTTTCACCAAGGAGCCCCACTGGTTGTTTGGGACCATGGAGCGGTGAGTCAGGGGCCTCCTCAGGGCTCCTGCACATTTGAACTCTTGTTGTAGCAGTTACCACATTGGTCTGTAACTGGACATGTCTGTGGCTCTGTCTAGTTCTCTTCAGTTAAATATATTAGATATCCCAATAACTATCATGGGCTCTCATAGAGCAGACTTTGAAACACTTGCCAGAAGAGTCATACAGTGACAGAAAAATGGGTGACATAGTCTGGTCTCAGGGGTAGATATGTGAGGGGAAAGATAGCAGAGGGAGCATATCCTATTCTTTGGGCTTCAGGTACCTACAGCAGATACAGGACCTGCCCCCAACTGGTCCTCCCCAGATGAATCTACTGGAGGTATACAGCCTGAAGGAAGAGATGGGCAACCTCAGGTGAGGGCAGGCAGGATAACAGTGGGGAGGAAGGGTGATGGGGCAGAAGAGTGCAGGAGGTGGCACCAGGAACCTAGCAGTCTCACACCTGATATTTGTTAAGGGCTGGGTCAGGGCCTGGCCTGCGAGTGACACTCCTCTAGTCACTCGTACTCAGGATCACATTCCTCCAAACCTCTGCAGGAAGTTGCTGGATGCTACTCCATCACCAGTGGTCTTCTGCCACAATGACATCCAGGAAGGTAGGAGAAGGCAGCTGAGTCTCCCAACCCAAGGTGGAGGTGCCAGAGAGCCCAGGAGTGACCACAACCCTACCCCCTTCTCCCAGGGAACATCTTGCTGCTCTCAGAGCCAGAAAGTGCTGACAGCCTCATGCTGGTGGACTTTGAGTACAGTAGTTACAACTATAGGTGAGGGTGGGAGGATGGTTTCCCATAGATATATTCCTGTAGGGCCCTTGGAAAACAGACCAAGCCTTCATCTCTGTGTCCCAGCTGCACAGGGTAGTTAGGAACTAATGCCTAACTTGTTCCTATAGGGGCTTTGACATTGGAAACCATTTTTGTGAGTGGGTTTATGATTATACACATGAGGAATGGCCTTTCTACAAAGCAAGGCCCGAAGACTACCCCACACAAGGACAGCAGGTATGTAAGCCAGAGGCTAGGGAGGAGGACCTATCCTGTGAGGGAAGAAGAAGTGAAATATGGAAGGCATGGCCAAAAAAGAGTGTTAACTGGAAAATGCTCCATAGTTTTCCCAGTTCCTGACTCTTGTCCACTGATCTTAGCTTCATTTTATTCGCCATTACCTGGCAGAGGTAAAGAAAGGTGAGGCCCTTCTCTCCCGAGATGAGCAGAGAAGACTAGAAGAGGATTTGCTGGCAGAGGTCAATCGGTGAGGAAGGAGGGGCAAGGTGGAGGTATGGCAGGGCACAGAGGAAAAAGGGATTAAGGACAAGGTAATCATGGCCTGGCCGGGCATGGTGGGCTCATGCCTGTAATCCTAGCACTCTGGGAGGCAGAGGTGGGTGGATTGCCTGAGCTCAGAGGTTCAAGACCAGCCTGAGCCAGAGTGAGACCCGTCTCTACCAAAAAAAAAAGCCAGTCACTGTGACAAGCGCCTGTAGTCCCAGCTACTTGGGAGGCTAAGGGCAAGAGAATTGCTAAAGGAAGAAAAGAGAAAAAAAGAAAATTTTTTAAAAACCCCAAAACTTCAAACTAAGACAATTTGAAAGCCAGTTGAAAGCAAAATTTAAAAAAAAGAAAAAGAAAAGGTAATCAGACTTTGCAAGCTGCAGGTAAGGATCCAGCACAGAGGGGGACAGAGGTAAAGATGAGGTCTGGAGCTGACAGAGAGAAATAGTCTTGAGAGCAGGAAGGGAAAGGGTGATGTAGGGGTTAAGACAGTGGGAAGCAGTTACAGCTTTGGGAATTGACCAGCTTAAATGAGGGGAGCCAAACAGTGCCAAATGTATTTTTGAATGCCTCTACTTTTCCTGCCCCACCCCCAGATATGCTCTGGCATCCCATTTCTTCTGGGGTCTGTGGTCTATCCTCCAGGCATCCATGTCCACTATAGAATTTGGTTATATGGTAAGTAACTCAGGGATGAATGCTAGCTGGGACATGGGGAGCAGTGGGGCCACATGTCTTCCAGGAAATGTAGATAGTACCAGATGACTGTGGCTATTGGGTGCTGGTCTCAAGACTTTTCACCACTGTACAGTGTGGATTTCCTTCCCCAGGAGTATGCCCAGTCTCGGTTCCAGTTCTACTTCCAACAGAAGGGACAGCTGACCAGCTTCCACCCCTCATCCTGACTTTCCACCCTCCCAGTCCTTGGACTTCTCCCAGAGTCTCCAGGGCAGGACCTTGGAGGGAGCAGCAAAGAGCAGAAGGCCCTGGGCACCTGGGCTGATGCCCCCAGTGAGACTGGGTTGAGGTTGACCTCTCCCTGAGTTTGAGCAGGTCCCGTGGCAGGCAGAGAACCCCTGTACTGTGTATCTTAGCACAATAAACATGCTTCTTCCTTCACACCCTATCCTGGCCCTGCTCAGAAGCAGCAGAAAGTACCAAAGGAGGAGTGCACAAACAGTGACCAGTGCCATGTTGAGTGCTCTGGGCTTGAAGTGGTTGAGGGTACATGTTGCATGCCAGTTGGGGTCCCCTGTCTGTCCCCTCTTCTTGACTCCAGCTTATTAAGTAGTAAATTCTAGGAGGATTGCAGAGAGGTGAGGGCACCAAGAGGGCCTTGGAGTGGGGCTGCCAACTGGGAGCATCAGAAATTGGAACAGCTGACACACTGGTGACCTTTCCCCTACTTTCAGCTATTTTTAGCTCTAATGCCACCACCCTCACGTGAGATCCTTTGTGGCCGCCCCGAGGATCCCAATCCTTTGAGCAGCCTTCAGTGTGCAGAAACGTCGCCCCCGCCCCCACATCTTGTTTTCTCAACCCCAATTTGGGAGTGGGTGTCAGGTTCCGGGTGAGGGCGGGGCGGGGGGGTGGCCAGGGCCTGAAGGACATGGGGACACAGGCCAGAGTGGCCCGCACCACACACAGACAGGAGCGAACCCAGGCTGTGAGTAGGGGCAGCGAAGGGGTGGCCTGAGGTCGTGGCCCGCGAGCGGATGACAGCGCTGGGGTACCTCGCGGCTGGGCTGGGGATCACCCGAAGCCCGCCTCTGTCCAGGCGGATTCTGCTTCCGGGCGTCTCTTCCCCGCCCGCTCCCTCGCTGATGCCCCCGCCCTGAGGCTGCCCTTGGGGGTCCCGGGGCTGTCTAGGCCGGCCGGGCCTACAGCGCGAGGATTCGGACGCGTTTGGCGGCGGTTGGCTTAGCGGGTCGCGGGTCTGGGCCAGGCTGGGGGGTGGGGCCGGGGTGGCGGGGCCGGCTGAGCGCACCCCGCGCACCCTCCTGCCCCCCAGGTGCCGACCAACCCCCAGGATGGCGGAAGCGCACCAGGCGGTGGCCTTCCAGTTCACGGTGACCCCGGAGGGGGTCGACTTCCGGCTCAGTCGGGAGGCCCTGAAACACATCTACTTATCCGGGATCAACTCCTGGAAGAAACGTCTGGTTCGCATCAAGGTGCGCGCAGGTGGTTCTCCCCGTCTCTCTCTCCCAGCAGGTGCAGAACAGAGTTCTTAGAGCCAAGGCAGAGCCTAGGTGTCAGCTGTTACCCTACTGTTAGGGTCCCTCACCGCCGCCTCAGCTGGCAGCTCTGCACAGCACAAGTGCTAGCAGTGCAGACGCTAGAGGGTTCTCAGGGCGCGCTGGGCCACAGGGAGCTGCAGATGTGAAGGTGTGGGAAAGTAAGAGAGGCACAGCAGGAGAAGAAGGAGAAAGCCTTAAAGCAATGACAGGAACTCTTTCTCAGGACTTCCAAGGTGTCTGCTTATCTCACACCCTCCTCCTCCATAAGGGTGCTTTTTTCTGCCCACAGAATGGCATCCTTAGGGGTGTGTACCCGGGCAGCCCCACCAGCTGGCTGGTCGTCGTCATGACAACAGTGGGGTCCTCCTACTGCAGCTTGGACATCTCCTTGGGGCTGGTTGGTTGCATCCAGAGATGCCTCCCTCGGGGGTAAGAAGTGGCTGGAAGGGCACAGATGTCATGAGGGAGGGCTGGACCCAGCTCCCAAGGCCAAGGTTCCTGAGCTGGGCAGATACAGAAAAGTAGCCTTACTCACAAGGACATCCCTCTGGGACCCCCATGGTAGTCTCAGACCCTGTGTCCAGGGAGTTTCTTCCCTTTAGTGTCTCTCCTGAGAGTTCACAGACATCAACTATGGAGTCAGAATTTCCCCAAGGCTGGCCTCGAGACAACTCTCTGCAGCTCTCGACCCTTCTTCAATAGGTGTGGCCCTTACCAGACCCTCCAGACCCGAGCACTTCTCAGCATGGTCATCTTCTCCACGGGGGTTTGGGTGACAGGCATCTTCTTCTTCCGCCAAACCCTGAAGCTACTGCTTTCCTACCATGGGTGGATGTTTGAGATGCACGGCCAGACCAGCCACTTCACCAAGATCTGGGTTGTGAGCAGAAACCGTTGGAGGATTTGGGCATCTGCTTGAGATCCCAGGGGCCTTCTTTGGAGTTCTGAGCTGGGGTGGGGAGAGGTAGACAGGGCACTGGTGCCTGGCATGTGGGTTTGTCCAATAGGGGCCAAGACAGTTCTGAAGGTCTTGAGTGTTTGCTTGTTTGTTTCCATTGTTTCTACTGGCTTCTACCCCAGCACTCTGCTCTATACCTCCAGATCTGTGTCCGCCTTCTATGCAGCCAACGACCCATGCTCTACAGTTTTCAGACATCTCTGCCCAAGCTTCCTGTGCCCAGTGTGGCAGCTACAATTCGTCGGGTGAGAGCCTGGTTTGAGCATTGCAGTATACAGGGGAGGCTGGATTTTCTCCACACATAAGGGATTGTGCCATGCAAAGAGTGGGTTTGAGAGTAATGGGACTTTGTGGGGAGGGAAAGTTGAGAAGAAGATTAAGACAGAGGTAGCCATTGCTTTCTGATCTCCATGATGACAATAACTTGGTGGGACAGTACTTAGAATCTGTGCGGCCTTTGTTGGATGATGAGGAATACTATCGCATGGAGACACTGGCCAAAGAATTCCAGGACAAGACTGCCCCCCGGCTGCAGAAATACCTGATACTCAAGTCATGGTGGGCAACTAACTATGTAAGTTTGCCCTCCTTAGCTCATTGTCAACACCTTCGTCCTGGCTGCCCCTTCCCAGCTCTGATCTCCTACCCACCCATAGGTGAGTGACTGGTGGGAAGAGTACATCTACCTTCGAGGCAGAAGCCCTCTCATGGTGAACAGCAACTATTATGTCATGGTAAGAACCAGAGCCCCACAGGTCCCCTGTGTGTGTGTAGCTCTGCCCAGCTCTGGTGCAAAGGAGCTGCAGGACCGGTGGCAGTTTCTATGGGCCAGTGGGCATTGTGGAGCGAGGCCTGAAGCAGAGGGAAGAGGGGGGGAACTCGTGGAAGAGCAGTTCAGAAGCAGCTTAGAGGAAATGGGGGTCCTGAGAATGAGGAAAATTATAGAGATCCCACAGCCTCTCACCACCTCTCTGAATACAGGCTATGTCACCTCCTTCCTTGGTTCCCTTCCTGGCTTCTTGGCCACAGATTCTAGCTGTCCTGACACCATTACTATGGAACTTTCTATATATTTTTTTCTTTTAGAGACAGTCTCACTCTATCACCCTCAGTAGAGTGCCATGGCGTCACATCTCACGGTAACATCTAACTCCTGGGCTTAGGCGATTCTCTTGCCTTAGCTTCCCGAGTAGCTGGGACCACAGATGCCCGGCTATTTGTTTTTGTCATTGTAGTTTGGCTGGAGCCAGGTTCAAACCCGCCACCCATAGTATATGGGGCCAGCGTTCTACCCACTGAGCCGCAGGCACTGCCCACTAGGGAACTTTCTAAAACATACCTTTGTGGAGCCAGACCATAGGGTGAAAGCCAGCCTCTTCCCTGAGAATTCACGATGCCACTGACTGCCCCTTCCCCATGGAGCTGTCCCTCCTTCTTTCTCTGGGCCTCCAATCTTTTACTTGCACAACATGTCCCTTCTCACTAACCAGATATGCTGTCAGGAATGTTCCCACAAGCTGTTCTTCCAGAAACTTGTACACAACTTGCCCATACTGGAAGTTTTATTATTTATTTACTTATTTTTTAGACAGAATCTCAACTCTGTTGCTCTGTGTAGAGTGCCATGGCATTGTCATAGCTCACAGCAACCTCAAACTCTTGGGCTCAATCCATCCTCTTGCCTGAGTTTTTCTATTTTTAGTAGACAGGGTCTCATTCTTGTTTAGGCTGGTCTCAAACTCCTGAGCTCAAGCAATCCACCTGCCTTGGCTCCCAGAATGCTAGGATTACAGGAATTAGCCACTAAGCCCAGCCCAACCTAGAGGTTTTAAATGATATATTAGTGGTAGAACTCCTTTCTCAAAGCAAAATAAGTAAAATTTGAACAAATAGGATATAGAAGTTTCAAAGCCCGTAGTTCAGTGGTTAGGGTGCTGACCACATACACCAGGGCTGGTGGGTTCGAACATGGCCCAGGCCTGCTAAACAGCAATGACAACTACAGCAAAAAAGATAGTTGGGCATTGTGGTAGGCATCTGTAATCCCAGCTACTTGTGGGGCTGAAGCAAGAGAATTGCAAGACTCTGTCTCTAAAAAAAATAAAAGGAAGTTCCCTAGGAATGGTGTCTGAAAAAAAAAATAGGTTATAGAAAAGCAGCGCAGGCCAAAGTTGGAGCAGAGTATTAATGCGATCAATTGTGCACTTCTGGACGTTTGCCCTGACAGTGTATGCAGGATATACTGGAAAAGGAGATAAGACACCCAGGTTCCTGGATAAACTGGTCATCAGGCCAGAAATATCTAGGTGACCCCCACCACCACCACCACCACCAGAGGCTCTGCTTTTTCTGTAGGACCTGGTGCTGGTCAGGAACACAGATGTGCAGGCAGCCCGCCTGGGAAACATCGTCCATGCCATGATCATGTATCGCCGCAAACTGGACCGTGAAGAGATCAAACCAGTGAGTCGCATCAGGGTTGAGGGTGGGACGGGAGAGACTAGGTCTGAGCTATGCTGGGCCTTCCTGCAGGTTATGGCGCTAGGCATTGTGCCCATGTGCTCCTACCAGATGGAGAGGATGTTCAATACCACGCGGATCCCGGGCAAGGAGACAGGTACCCAGCCACAGCCAGGCACCCAAAACCAAGCCCCTCCCTCTCAGCCATGGCCCACAGTGGCTAGGCAGCCCACTGCCTGCTCTTCGCCAACCACCCCAGCTTGTCAGGGTGGTGAAACTATGAAAAGTAGTCCATCAGCCAGGCGTGGTGCCTCATAGCTATAATCCCAGCACTCTGGGAGGTTGAGGCAGGTAGATTGCCTGAGCTCACAGGTTCAAGACCAGCCTGAGCAAGTGGGAGACCCTGTCTCTAAAAAAATAGCCAGGCATTATGGTGAGCACCTATAGTTCCAGCTACTCGGGAGGCTAAGACAAGAGAATTACTTAAGCCCAAGAGTTTGAAGTTGCTGTGAGCTATGACACCATGCCACTCTACCAAGGGCAACAAAATGAGACTCTGTCTCAAAAAAAAAGAAAGAAAAAAGGCTGGGCACAGTGGCTCATGCCTATAATCCTAGCACTCTGGGAGGCCAAGCTGGGCAGATTGCCTGAGCTCACAAGTTGGAGACCAGCCTGAGCAGAGCGAGACCCCTGCCTCTAAAAATAACTGGGCATCCTGGTAGGTAGCTGTAATCCCAGCTTCTCGGGAGGCAGAGGTAAAAGAATCATTTGAGTCCAGGAGTCTGAGGTTGCTGTGAGCTGTGATGCCATGGCACTCTACCAGGCGCAACAAAATGAGACTCTTCCTCAATAAATAAATAGATAAAAATAAAAGTAATCCATCTGTGACAGATACTGATATCTGTTACCTATAAGCCTGATGTTGGTATAAGGACTTCAAGTGGCCCAGAACAGAGCCTGTCCCCTGGAGGGGCTCACTGTGCCAGGGGAAAGGTTGCCCTGTGAGTATAAGCAGCAGGAGGCGTCCTGTGTGCACCTGAGGAGGAGCATGGACCCCCTCTATGGAGCCTGCAGAGCAAGAAGGGAGGAGTTCACCCTGGGCAGCAGAGGCAGAGCCTGCCCTGTGTCCTTAGGTAGTTTGCATAACGTGGTGCTGTGGTCTCGTCTCATGTGAAATTACTTCTAGGATTCTAGCACAGGGCCTGGTTTTAGACGTGTGGATCTCATCCCCAGGGAAGGAACCTAGGGCTCAGCAAGCTTGGTAGGGGCCACCTAGGGTCCAGTATGAGAGCACAGTTTGGAGCACAGAGCACTCCCCACATCCCTGCTTCAGCTGGCGGTGATCTCTGTTGCAGATGTATTGCAGCACCTCTCCGACAGCAGGCACATAGCTGTCTATCACAAGGGGCGCTTCTTCAAGGTGTGGCTGTACGAGGGCTCCCGCCTGCTCAAGCCTAGGGACCTGGAGATGCAGTTCCAGAGGATCCTGGATGACCCTTCCCCGCCTCAGCCTGGGGAGGAGAAGCTGGCAGCACTCACCGCGGGGGGAAGGTATCAGCTTACAGGAAGGGCTGTCCTGATGAAGGTTCAGGGCCCATTTAGGAGGGAAACCTAGCCTTGCCTGCCACACTGCAACTGGAGGCTAGAGGTACAGTGGGAGGGGCATTTAGGACCTGCAGTAGTTGAGGGGCACCAGTGGTAATGGCAGAAGGACAGCAGTTACAGCACCTCCAACAAGTAGGAGTGCATGGAGGGACAGCTGGCACCCCACCTCCATCTCCAAGCCCAGTTGGGTCCTGGGATATGCTCTCACCCCAAGTCCTTATGCCGCAGGGTGGAGTGGGCACAGGCACGCCAGGCCTTCTTTAGCTCTGGCAAGAACAAGGCTGCTCTAGAGGCCATTGAACGTGCTGCTTTCTTTGTGGCTCTGGATGAGGAGTCCTATGGTTACAACCCTGAAGATGAGGCCAGCCTCAGCCTCTATGGCAAGGCCCTGCTACACGGCAACTGCTACAACAGGTATAGTACCCCCAGTTCCACAGGTTAGAGAGTAGGGGTTAAAGTTTGAGGTTGCAGTTAGAGCAAGGGTCCTCAAACTTTTTAAACAGGGGGCCAGTTCACTGTCCCACCGGCCTGTTAGAAGGCCGGGCTGCAGGCCCCAGGATGAGTCAGCGGCTAAGCAGGACAGACAGCGGCAGCAAAAACACCTGGCGGGCTGGATAAATGCCCTCGGGGGGCCACATGTGGCCTGCAGGCCGTAGTTTGAGGACACCTGAGTTAGAGGGTCAGGATTAGAGGATTAAGACTAGAAGTTAGGGTTATGATTAGTAGGGAGACAGAATTAGCAGTTAAGGTTAAGGTTGGAAGTTAGAGGGCTGCTCCTGTGGCTCAGTGGGTAGGGGGCGGGCCTCATATACCAAGGGTGGCAGGTTCAAACCCAGCCTCAGCCAAACTGCAACAAAAAAATAGCTGGGTTTTGTGGCGGGTACCTGTAGTCCCAGCTACTTAGGAGGCTGAGGCAAGAGGATCACCTAAACCTAGGACTTTGAGGTTGCTGTGAGCTGTGATGCCATGGCACTCTACCAAGGGCAATAAAGTGAGACTCTGTCTCTAAAAAAAAAGGTTGGAAGTTAGAGGTTAGACTACAGGCTGGAGGTTAAGGTTAGTGTTAGGGGTAGAGGTCACTTTTAGGGTTAGTGGTTACAGTTAGTGTTAGAGTTAAAGGTTAGAGGTAGACAGAGAGTTAAGGTTAGGATCAGGGTCAGCGTTAGACAGACTTAGTGAGTTAGGAGTAGGGTTCTAACTTAGGCTTGTGTGGACATTGCCAGCCTTGGATCATCATTGTGTCTACTCCTGCAGGTGGTTCGACAAGTCCTTTACTCTTGTTTCCTTCAAGAATGGGCAATTGGGCCTCAACACGGAACATGCATGGGCAGATGCCCCCATCATTGGGCACCTCTGGGAGGTAACACCCCTCAAGAGGGGACCTGCAGGACAGGCTTGGGGGGATAAGGCTGGCCTCTCAGTCTAGCCCTCCTCCTATAGTTTGTCCTAGGCACAGACAGCTTCCATCTGGGATATACGGAGACTGGGCACTGCCTAGGGAAATCAAACCCTGAGCTGGCACCTCCTCTGCGGCTGCAGTGGGACATCCCTAAGCAGGTAGGGCAGGGGCACCTGAGTCACTCTACTCTTTCTCCCCTCCTCATCCCCTCACCCTGTCCAGCCTTCGGGGGAAGGAAGAGAAACTTCTAAGGGTACTGAGTAGGGTCCACACTGGCCTCCAGAAGAACAGAGACCCTCAGGGCCATCTGTGGATAGAGAAAAATGTATGATACAAAGCTCACGTCTGTGAAGCACCTGTTAGTATCTCCTCCTTCCCCACAAAGCTCAGCCTGGCCCCTTGTGGCCAATTCCCTCCCACCCCCAGCTTGTCCTGCCTGTGTCCCCTTCTCCTGAAGATGTTGGGGCAAGTGTAGTCCTTTATCACCTGAACTTCATACTTCCTAGATGTGACCCAGAGTCCTGCTTGGAGAGCTCTACCCTAAGCTGACCCTTTCCATGTCTCCGGCAGTGCCAGGCAGTTGTCGAGACTTCTTATCAGGTGGCCAAGGCACTGGCAGACGATGTAGAGTTATACTGCTTCCAGTTCCTGCCCTTTGGCAAAGGCCTCATCAAGAAGTGTCGGACCAGCCCTGACGCTTTTGTGCAGATTGCCCTGCAGCTGGCTCACTTCCGGGTAGGAGCCTCCCTGGGCTGCTGAGTGGGCAGGGTGGCACCGGCACCCACCTGCCAGATTTACCCTTCTGTGTACCCTAGGATAGGGGTAAGTTCTGCCTGACATATGAGGCCTCAATGACCAGAATGTTCCGGGAGGGACGGACTGAAACTGTGCGTTCCTGTACTAGTGAATCCTCAGCCTTCGTACAGGCCATGATGGAGGGGTCCCATATGGTGAGTTCTGCCAGGTAGGGGGTTGCAGTCACATAGTGAGGTGCCCCCTCTACTACTTCAAGGTTCAGGGCTACTCTTTACCTCTCAACTTCTGTCCCCCTAGAAAGCAGACCTCCAAGATCTCTTCCGGAAGGCTGCTAAGAAGCATCAGAACATGTACCGCCTGGCCATGACAGGGGCAGGGATCGACAGGCACCTCTTCTGCCTATATGTAGTCTCTAAATACCTGGGGGTCAGTTCCCCTTTCCTGGCTGAGGTCAGTGTTGATGATGTGTCCTCTGTCACTCTGCTTCCTTAGGCCCAGGGGCTTACCTGTTTTCTGTCTGGAGAATCCCCTGAAATTGCCCTGAAGGGTTGGGCCAGCTTTCCTGCCTGAGGTCCTGGGACCAAACAGGAACAGTTCCTCCTCCTGGAGTAGGCATTCTTGGCTGGGGGGCACGGTGAGGGGACAAACAGACAAGTATCTGATCTGTCAGGTGATAATAGTGTCAAGCTAAAGGGGAGGGATGGGCAGGTCACACAGGCCTTGTGAGGCACGATGTGGGGGGCCCAGGGCAGCAATGAGGGAAAGCCCACACTCATGCTCACTCCTGCATTCTCAGCAAGGCAGTGCCTGGCCCCGTTGGACAGGTATGTACTGAGCTTATCTGACTGGCTACAGCCTCCCTGTTGCAGGTGCTTTCAGAACCGTGGTGCCTCTCCACCAGCCAGATCCCTCAATCCCAGATCCGTATGTTCGACCCTGACCAGTATCCCAATCACCTGGGCGCTGGAGGTGGCTTTGGGCCTGTGAGTGCCCCTGAAGAGCAGTGGGTGGGCAGCTCTGGGGCCCAAGAGTTCAGTGTTAAGCACAGGGCCTTGAGTTAAGACAAGAGGCAGGTGTCCCTTGCTTAGAGGAGTGCATAATTGGACTTGCGTGGAAGGAAGATGGTAGCTATGGACCTAGGCAGATAGGGACCTGGGACCCACCTATCCCAGCTTCCCTGCTAGAGCATGACTGTACACAGGGCTGGTTTCCAGGGAACTGGGTATCATGTTGGGTACTTCTGAAATAGGCTTACCCAAGTGTCCTGCTCTTTCCCGTTAGGACCTTCCTATGAGCTAGTTTGTCAGAGGCTAGAAACCCCCTTGGAGAGAGGGAGTGGTTTGAAGTATGTTCCTCCTGAAGGAAACTGGGAGGTCTAGAATCCTGGGTAGGGTCCAGAACTGCAGGGGTCAGCATCCTTTGGTTTCCACAGTTTCCTGGGGATAGTAGTCTAGGAAAATGCAGTATCTGCAGACCCTGCAAACCCTATGGGAGGAGCAAGTACAACATCAGTTTGGCTTTTAGATCTCCAGTGTGTGATTTCACCCTTCATGTTGCCCTTAGGTGGCAGATGATGGCTATGGGGTCTCCTACATGATCGCAGGAGAGAACATGATTTTCTTCCATGTCTCTAGCAAGTTCTCAAGCTCAGAGACAGTGAGTCTCTCCTCCTCCAGCTCAGGCCTGAGGAAGGGCTGCCACCTGGCTGGGGAGCAGTCCATGCTTGTGGGGACAGGGGTGGTGGCACACCTAAAGGTGCAACTGAACTCTTGGCTCCCACAGAATGCCCAGCGCTTTGGGAACCACATTCACCAAGCCCTGCTGGACATCGCTGATCTTTTCCAAGTTCCCAAGTCTGACAGCTGAGGGCTGGAGAAATGCCCAGCTGCCCTTTCGCCCCAAAGTTGTGGAGGAAAGGGCCTGTGGCCAGCTCCCAGGCATGAGAAGTAGCCATGCACAGATGCCCAGGCTCCCAGCTCTGGCAGAAAGTGCTCCTGTGAAGATGCTGCTCCCTGAAAACCCTGGAGGTGGGATTGAAGCAGGAGGGAATTTTGATTTTTTTTCTTGGTAGATAACTAATAAAAATAAGGCTATGTAATTATCTCTCAGCTCTTAGATACCTGTGTTTTGTTTGGGACTAGAAGGCTCTTCCTGTCCCATCTCAGACCAGAGAGGGGGAAAGAGAATGGCTGGGGCTGGTCAACTATTCATGTGCAACTTGTAACCTGCTTTGAAATGTGTGTCTCGGCTTGGCACCTGTGGCTCAAGCGGCTAAGGCGCCAGCCACATACACCTAAGGTGGTGGGTTCGAATCCCCAGCCCGGGCCCACCAAACAGCAATGATGGCTGTAACCAAAAAATGGCCAGGCGCTGTGGCAGGCGCCTGTAGTCCCAGCTACTTGGGAGGCTGAGGCAGGAGACTTGCTTGAGTCCAGGAGTTGGAGGTTGCTGTGAGCATGATGCCATGGCACTCTACCCAGGGG